TTCAACAAAACTTCTTTCCTTGCCAGAAACCATGTTCCCCCCATTACCTTTTTTCCAGCATTTTTATGTATTAACATTTCTCCATCATTCCCCCCCCCCATTTAGGAAGTATTCTACCAAGGTGCAGCAACTGAAAGTGCTTGCTCTTGTTTTTCATTATGTAAATGTTCAGTGGCTTACTCCATTTTCTCATCAAGCACCACTACCTTGGCCTTTGATATGTTAATATTTAGATCAATTCTGCTTGCTGCATCGTACAGTCTGTCTCATATCCACTGAAAATGATTTGAGTTCTTAGTAACATGAATTGATGTGTATAGAAAAGTATATGTACATTCATGTCCCCAACCAAAGTATCTTGAACACCCCGACATACATTCCTTTTCCTTTTCCCTTAAATACATTAAACCAGCATTGGACATCACACCCTGTTGTCTTATTCCTGTTCAACATTGAAATATTCACTAAGCTTTCCACTTATTCTTACACATGCTTTTCTTCCATCATATACCACTCTTATCACAGCAATCAACTTTGAACTCCATATTTGTGAAAAAAAATCCATAATTCAAACCTATTCACAGTTAATACATTATCATCATCATCATCATCACAATCATCTGCTTTCTCTAAATCAGGAAACATACAATAAACTTCCTTTCTCACATTCATGCATTTCTCAATGACTTGCTGAGGAACCAATATGGTATGCACATTCCTTGCCTAGCATAAAAGCACACCACACTTCCAACATTTTGCTTATTTTACCTCTTGAACTCTGCCAAACATCTAATTACTCTGTAGTTTTTACACTCATTTTTGTTACCCCTCTCTATGTATTGTTGGAAACAGTTTAAAGCTCTATATGTTAAACAACTTGGAGAGTTATTTTAAGCAAACTACACCCATATTTTAACATAACTCCAGTTACGCCTTATATAGCTGCAGTCTTACCATTTTTCTACGTTCTCATAGCATTTATGACTTCCTTGTTATCATTTTTTCTTGGACATTAACCCAGAATTTGTTGTAATATTATTCTTTGACATATCACTGTCATTTCCATACAAATCTCTAAAAGATTCTTTCTAGCATTCCCTCACTTTATTTCAATCCCAGATCATTTCATCACCTTGCCATCAAGATCACTCTGCATTTTCTCCCTCTTTTAATATTACAGGTAGTCCTTGAGTTACGATTATTCATGTAGTGACCATTTGAAGTTACAACAGTGTTGAATGAAGGGACTTATGACCGGTCCTCTGAGTTCTGGCCGTTGCAGCACCCCCGTGGTCATGTGAGCAAAATTCTGGTGTCTGGCAACCAGCTTACACTTATGACCAGTTCCAGTGTCCTGTGGTCATGTGATTGTGATTTGCAACCTTCCTTGTTGGCTCCCCTCCCCCCGCCAAATTCAATGGGAAGCTGGCAAGGAAGGTCACAAGTCACTGGGGTAAGTCCCACCCTCGGCCTTTCTTTGCTTGCTCACATGCATTACTGTGCTGCGAAGGATATTTATTTCTATTGCATTTATTGAGAAAAATAGATTAAAATGATTGTATAGATTAACTGGTACACCATGCTCAAAAGCTTTAATTTTTCTCCTTGAAGCTAATTGTAGGTTGCCTCAATTTTCAATCACTTTTTGAGATAAAGGACAAGAGTTGCATAGCAGGGTAGTGATACATGTCATTGCTTCCCAATTCTAGAATATGGAGGATATGAAGGTAGCTTTCAATTAAATCATAAACCTAGTGAAAAGAATAGCTTTGGTGTGCACTTGGAAGTAAAACTACAGGGGAAAATTGACAACCCAGAAATTCAGCAGTAAAAGAGCAAAAAGACAATAATAGATTAAATCAAATGCATCTTTTAACCCAAGTGCTTGAAATCAGTTGGATTTCTGTCAACTCCCAACTATTTCAGACACATGGGTTTAAAAGACAGTGAGAGGAACAATTGAAAAGTCAGGAAATAACTCCCTAGGAATATCTTTCCAAGGGCTTTAGTGAGTTCTTATCAAATACACTTGATTTACAGACCAGGCTGTTTATCATCTTGTCTGAAATCTTCCTCTGGGGTGTGCTCACTCTCTCTCTCTCTCTCTCTCTCTCTCACACACGCACGCACGCATCCATGCAGACAGCTTCTTTTCCTTCACTAGGCCACACAGAAATCTGGACAGAAGGAGGAGTATTTGTGAAGTATGTCCAGAGTCAATCTAACCCACTTCAAATGAATCCAAAATTCTTTTGGCTATTGTTCTCAAAATTTAGCTCTTGGTTCATGTGTATTTTAAGGAAAGTTGCAGAGAAAATCATGTACGTTAGGAAAAGCTACACACATTTTCATGCTTTGCTAGTTCACACACTGATTAAGAAATTGGATAGCAAAGATTTAGAATTATATACATAGAAAACTGACATATATCAGATAGTGACTAATTTGTCTATTCTTAGATGTGGGTCAAACAGATGGGACTAGAGAGTCAAGCTATAGATGACAATGGAAAATAATGCATTCATAAGTTCAGTACTGCGTGGTAAGAGAAAAAATGGCTTTCTAGATTCAGTATCAAGAAACACTGGCTTCTTTTCTGTGTGCTTTTTGGAAAAACAAAGTGAAAACACAGATAGTAATCAGAGATGTGAGATATGTAGCTATGAGTGATCCAGCTGTTAGATGACAGCATACGGCTATTGATATTAGACTCAGTAAACTGCACATAGATTGAACAAATGTTACTTTGGTTCCATAGGAAAACACAATTATTTTTTGTGGAGTTTCTGAGGGTTACAAGATGACAGATTCATCAAATCCAGCAGTACTCTGAAGAATGGCATTCTTCAACAAAAGAGTGGTGATAGCAACCAAAGGCTTTTATCCTAGCACAGAATCTTGTGAGACAGTTTCCCATACTGAATGAAGATAAACAAAGTTAGATGCTAAGTCACTGTATTACACTGCTTAGTGAATTTGCAAAGAAGGAAGATGGAAGGGAAGCTCTCTGTCTTGGTATCTTTCTGCTACAGATGATAATAGCCCCTGTTCTTATAATGTCAAGTATTTCTTTTTGTTAATGGCTTTCCCACCCTCCACCAGGTAT